GGCGCCCTACTCCTTTAAGCCACAGGCACCGCCCAAGGGTCTAACTTTTGAGTTACTTATTGCCTTGCAGCTCAGGCACAATCCTACTACATTGATGGCCTGTTGTGCAGGGAGTTACTTATTGCCTTGTAACTCAGGCACAATCCTACTGCATTGATGACTTGTTGTGCAGGAAGTTACTTACTGACTTGCAGCTCAGGCACAATCCTACTGCATTGATGGCTTGTTGTGCAGTAAGTTACTTATTGCCTTGTAACTCAGGCACAATCCTACTGCATTGATGGCTTGTTGTGCAGGGAGTTGATGGAGGGGGGACACGAGCTAGGTCAGACTTTTCAGAAATTTTCTCACCACCTCTGTGTTCAGATGGAAGACTGGATAGAAAGGGTGTACCTTACTGAAAGGGTGGAACCTTCAGCCTTAAGGCCATATGTGGCCTTGTAGGTCCTCAAGTGCAGCCTTTTGACTAAATTTGAATTTTACAGAAAAAGGGGTGCAGCAGAAAAAGACGCTTTTCTTACCTTTGGTGCTTAAAAAAGAACAATCTTGAAATTAGAAGACTAGGTTCCCCACCCATGCTGGCTGTGGCCTCAAAATACTATGTCCCTCCCCACATTACAGGTTGCCTTCATACCTATTAAGTGATTTTCCCCCTCATGGAGAAAGAGAGGTGGAAAGAGATTGTATATCGAATGATGCAAGCCCTTTGATACCAGTGAAAACTGTCCAGGGGGAACCTTTCCCCCAAATACTAAGAAAACAAGATACCAGTTTCCCAGGCATATCTAGTTAGATTAGGAAGCAGGAAGCATCTAGAGATCCCTACCCAGGAATCCCTGGTTACTCCTTACTTGGACATCTCCCCCGACTCCCCCTACTTGGGGATCCTCCTCCAGGATTCAAAGCATCTCGATGGTACGGGCTGGATCCAGCACAGTGTCAGAGACACACACCTTCAGAGGGAAGGGACCGTCAGCCTGTTTTGAATTCAGGCCTGTATACACACGCACCTATGCTGCTGGGCTGTTCACTGCCTAAGTGACATAAGCCCCCCCTACATGACTCACTTTCGGCCACTGGCAGATCATCTAAGCCTAATAGAAGTGGCCAGAGGAAAACCAGGAAGGGAAGGAAAAGAGAGAAAGCCAGGAGACCAGATGCTGGGCCTAAAAAGGGAAAAATGCTTAGTGCTGGACAAATTTTTAATCTCTACATAGTTCCATAATATTTCACTATTTCTCTGGGGCCCCTGGGCAAGGGGATAAGTCACTGAAATCATATGGCCGGCAATGTAGGCTAGACCAAGGCCAGCAGATGCTCCTGAGAAGGCCAAGAAATGGCTCCTCTCAGAGGTTACTGCCTGAAGTTATCCCATAGGGTTGTCCCCAGCAGTATCCCCATTTCAGCCTCTGGCTTCTTGGGCAACCTACAGCAATAGTGGTGAGGACCTGCCTACTCACAGGCACCAGTGACATCATAACACACTGCTAGGCCTTCTGTGCCCCCTCCGCACAAACTCCCTTGGCCAGTTGGGCATGGAAGCTGGCAGCAGCTGCCTCTAATCAGCCCCAAGGCTCACAGTCTGATTCTAACAAGTGATGAACCTGGGCTATGAATGCTTAACGTTGGTGGCTGACTCTGCCTTTGTTGAAACTTTTCTTTTTTGAGACAGAGTCTCACTTTGTCACCGTTGGTAGAGTGTCATGGCATCATAGCTCACAGCAACCTCAAACTCTTGGGCTCAGGAGATCTTGCCTCAGCCTCCTGAGTAGCTGGGACTACAGGCATCCACAAAGGATCTCACTCATGCTCAGGCTGGTCTTGAGCTCCGAAGTGCAAGCAATTCACCTGCTCAGCCTCCCAGAGTCCACAGTGTTAGGACTACTGGTGTGAGCCACTGCACCCAGCCTAGGCTTGGTTTCCTAAAAACTTACTTGAGGTAGTGCATGCAAAGAATCCAGATAACCACTAGGTGAGGGAATTGGTTTATGGACCCTGATTGAGCTCTTTGGTCTTTATCTCAATGCAGAGGATGAACCAAAACCCTGTTCTGCAAAAGCCTAAAATCCTTTACTAAAGTTGCTGAGTAAGATCCCATCAGCTTACAAAGACAGACCGCCTTTAACTCTACCCAGTTTTCTCTTTCCACGTTTGGACAGTCACAGATAAGCAGCAATAGAAGACTAAGGGACAGTCAGGGATGGCCATCAGCACCAGTGGGTCCCTCACACACTCCTCCCCACCCCCCAACCTCCCCAGACCCATCTTCATATCCTTGGTCGGTGCCTGGGCAGGGCCCAGGGAGCCTCCTCAGCTTATAGGCCAAGTTTCCCAGGGCTCTGGCCTTCCTGTCCTAACTCCTATTCTTCATATGCTACTTTGCTGCCTTCACTCCAGGGAGGCCCTTCCAGCTGAACCAGGTTTAGGAAAGACCTCTTGTGCTGCCTGGGTATCCCTACTGGCTGGAGCAAGGTTCTCTCCCTTAGAGGGAAAGACACCCTCACCAGCGCTGCTGGAAGACAGGCCAAAATCCATCAAGCGTTCACTGGCTGCAGCCCAGGGCTGCCTTAGGCAGTGATACCAGGGTCATGAAGAGAAAGGCATGGCTCAGGTGCTGCTGATCCACCAGCACCCAAGGGACGTGACAAGAAAAGGGAAATGTGAGGCACAGCAGCTTCTGGAGCGGGGGAGGTTCCTGTGCTTCAAGGGAATAGATGACAAAATCACGTGGTCATTTTATGGCTTGAGCATGTGCCAAGGCTCAAGGGATTTTTTTCCGTAAGCAACTGGATCCCCAGAAAAGTTTCACAAAGGCCCCACAACCCCAAGTGAACTGTGAATCAAATGGCTTTTTAGGCCCTCATCTCTTCCTATGTGGCTGAGGAGGTCCTTGGGCCTAGAAAGACAGAAAAAGATCAAGCTATCAACTCTCAGAGGAATATGACTTTGAACCCCTACCCCCATCTATGCGAGCTAATTTTAGGTGGGGGCACTATAGAAAATGTAAATGGTATTAGATAGCTGGACACGATGTTAGCAAGACTGAGTTGGCACACAGATGGGATACCCAAACATCCACTATTCGAGCATTTATCAAGTGGTAGGCAGCACCCTCCCCTGGCAAATGTGGAGAAGGAGACAGAGGGATGGAGGCAG